CCATTCTCCCATTGAACTTTTTAGAAAATCACTTACAACTTTTGAATAAGGTATTGGATCGGGCTGAAACTTTCGCATCTGGTTGTGACCTCTAGCGCTACCTTTTGGCGGTGAATGAGAGTTCGGCGATGGCTAGTTTATTTTTGCGAAAAAACCCTGTAAATTTGTTTTTGTGGCGCCCTGTATATCGATGCCCCGCAGTCTACACGACAGTGGGCGAGCCCTGCTCTCTTAATTGTCAACGCACCACTTACGAATTAGGGACCACGCAGAAGACGAGGTCAAGTCGCCACGAAGCGAGCCGGAGCCGAAGAGCGTAAATGGAACCCATCAGCGCCTTTTTTTCTCATTCCCATCAGGGAACCAGCCGTGCGGGCTAACAGCGCCATTGTAAAGCAAACGTCTTCTCAATTTCCCCGAACATGACCGGAGAAGTCACTTGACCCACCCCTACTCGACGTCACCGCACAAACCCTTCTTGAACCCATCGTCCCTTAGTGACCTCATGCCATCACCAAACTAAAAAAAAAATCACCGAACTCACCAACTGACGCCACTAATCGAAGTCTTCAGCTCACTGACCTCACGACCTCACGCCCTCACAGAAGTTATGAACTTACCGACATCGCGAACTCACGAACTCTCCGAACGCATGAACTCACCGACCTTAGATCCATCACTAAACCTTAAATTTTCGAGTTTCGGAGCCCTTTTTTGAACTCGCTCATACTCACATCATGTCTGACCGGTGAGCACTCCACCCTACCCCGCAATATGCACCCAGTAAACAATGCTGGCCCCAAGAAGGCTCACTTATGCGCACTCCGCTATCGCTACCCCGACCTCCCACAGATTACTTATACAGATGCGTCCTACCTTGAAGAAACTCAGGAAGGTGCGATGGCTGTCACTTCTCCCCAAACAACCCGCCCTCGTCACTTATTTCACCCGCCTCCACCACCTTTCTGTCAAATCCCAAGGCTTAGCCTCCGCGATAATGTGCAGCACCTCTCCTGGTCATCACATCATCCTCTCCATTCATTTAGCCCATTTAACCTACACACTCGACTGGGTTTTAGGCCATGCTGGAATATAGGCTACACTTCTCCCGGGAGACTAACGCACTCCCTCGCTTACCCATTACCATCCCCCGACAAACGAGCTAGTCCCCACAAGAAACTTTTCAGTAGCTCTTAGATGACTCCTTTATTTTCCAAACTCCCTCCAATGGTCTCTAACGCAAAGATACTTGCCTTGTCCTTCAAGCTCAGATACACAGCCCCCCTCGCATCCTCCAGTATCTAACCCAACCCCCAGCGGTCCCCAATATGCCTCCTACCCGGATTACTTTAACACTCCCCACGTGCTCTGGGATTGCCCAAGCAGCCGTCCGTCCCGCCAACAGCAGCTTGGCTCCTTCTTACCCGATTCTCGACGCCATTCGCTGCAGGAGAGGCTCGCTCCCTTTAAAGAGAAGGACACTGTAGAATGGTAACACGCCCTCGTGGCCCATAATAACCACTCTACAAAAAGTGCATGCGTCTGCTTTAAGGTACAATACTCGGAGTGCCAATCACCGCAATTTACGGAGGCAGCTCAGCGAATGACGACGTCGAAACTAAGATTAGACCATGAAACACAGTCTGAGTTGTGACATTAAGCAATGCAAGCGTGACGTTTTGCATTGCTTAATGTAACAACTCAAACTGCGTTTTTTTGGTCTAAACGTATGTTCAGGCATCCTCATTTGCTGAGCTGCCACCTAAGTTGCGGTGATTGGCTCTCTGAGTGTTGTGCCGGAAAGTAGACGCATGGGATATTTTACAGTGCAGGTCCTGCTGTAAATCCTAAATTACATTCCTTCATTTTTGTCTCTGGAGTTAGGGCCATTTATTTTTATTAAAGTTTTTTTCTTCTCCCCCTCACGAACAGAAATGACCAACTAAGCAGCGCCAAAACCGCAACGAAATGCCATCCGGTGTATTTCTGTACGTATATTTTCGCCGGAACATTTTATTCAGCGCTCAGGGCACCTCCTGTCTTTATCTGTTTATTCTTTATGTCAGTCAGTCTGCTGACATCGAGTACGCTCTGAATTATGATGAAACAAAGTACAATTGCGTACGTATGCATTCCTACTTTAGGAATGTCTTTTGTTTGCACCATTTTACAGGAATTACGCAGCATCCAACAGAGGGCAGGCTTCCGAAAAATGTCTATTGGGAACGTGCGATACACAAAGGGGGCGCGCGGCTCCACCTTGCAAGCAGTGAGGCCTTCAGACACTTTCTATTAAGCTTACTATCGGCAGCAGGTCGGCAATAACACCCACGGCGGCGTGGATATTACGTTGCGTAATGACCAGTCGCATACATATACACAGTCTCCCCATTCCCCGCCTTGCTTCTATATAACTTTCCTCGGCCATATCCCTCGATCGCTCTCCGGACCCCGAAACACCGTGCTCCGGAGCAATGCTTTTGTACTTTGACATTCGAAAAGCCACTCGCGCCCAGCGTTGTTCGGTTTGTGTTTTCCCGTGATTCGCCCGCAGGAGTAGCTTGGAGCTCGGATTCAACTCTGTTCCCAGCAGTGAAACCGGTAACGACAGCAACCCACTGCCATGGTATTTTTGTTTGTTTGTTTATATGTGGTCTCTGTGGTTATATAGTCTTCTATTAAGTGCTTTTGTCGACAGTCCGCGAAATACTACACGTCGAAATTTACCAATGTCAATGATTGACCCTGGTGAGAATAATTTTAATTTTACTTGAAGAATTTTTCGTTCGCTGGCGGATCGAGGGCCTACTATAATGAAAGGATCGCATCTATTTTCACCAGCGCGTGCAGTGGATCTATGCTGTCAACTTTCATCTTCCGTGAAAAAAGAATATTGTTTTTCTTGATCGTTTTGATAACCCTTGAAGCAAAAAATGTGTTGTGCAAGCATTGTGCGTGCATAATGATTTGTTGCCCTTGGTTACAGAATGCTTCGAACGGTTTCGGACGCCTTCCACGCACGACACACTGCACTCCGTGGACTTATCAGAATGACTTCTAGACGTTTAAATGTGCTCGTTGAGGTGAATCTGGATAATTATAAATTATTAATTATCGTTCTATACGATTTTCATGCTTATACACTGCAGGCTATGGGCTACGGTATGATTTACGTTACCTTGGCCTGCGTCCAACGGGTTTTTAATTAAATAGGCTCATAAACAAAATCTATGGTAAACAAAAGTTATCGCTGACTGTTGTTCGGAAAGTTTTGCATAGAGTGGTGTTTGGGTGAGCCTACATCCTTTACAGGCTACGGCCGGCTGCTACGCACGATGTGTGCGCCAAGTGGTTTGGCTAGGACCTGCTCCTCGTACCGAATTGTCGCACACATGCAACTGTGTCGTCTACTGACGATTTGGCTAAATTACTTAGAAAAGAAAATACAATCCGTATTACATCATACTTTTTCCAAAGGGAGTTACTTTAAATTTAAAATAATGCAATAAATACATGCTCAGCAACTAAGCATTACCTTAAGAAAGTAATGCAATTGCCTACCAATCACTTTCTTCATTAAGCTACCCACCTTCAATTATGTTAATGCGATATAATTGTTCTGTACGGTCCGCTTATCTTCTATCAAGGGTATGCTGATTCGCAACTTGTAAGTAACGGGAAACATTCTTGGCACGTCTTAGTCATCTGCGTCAACTTGAACATTAGGGTGCACAGGAATGTTGATCTTTTTCTCTTTTAAAAGGAACAAATCTACGCTATAAAATTTGGCAGGGAAACATACGGTACTAATATATGTTTTCCGTAAAGTTTGAGCTTGATATATGGCGGCAAAGTCGCTTCAAAAATGTTTCAGAAGTGTTGTAATTTGGGCGACGGTTTCTTTTCTTTTTTTTGGGGGGGAGGGGGGGGGGGGCGGTGTTGCTATATAAGTGTTCTGTTCTAATATTTGAAAAATATATTTTTTAAGTTTATTGTTTTTTAAGGCTTCAATTAATGGAGCGAATATGCGTCGGACAACCGACGAGCTTTGCCCAGCCGCCAGCGGCACGCTCGCCTTGTGCGTGGCGCAGCAGCCACTTGTGTGGCGCCACGCGCAGAGCGAAAGCAGTCGGGTGAAATTCACCGCTTTTTCTAATTATATTTAATACGTTGCGTCCAGCCTTTGGGCGCGCTCGTGATCTTAACCAACGCTTTTCTTACAAACCAGCTGGATTGCGACAGTTTGAAGCGATCTTCCGAAGCTGTTGCCATTTTGAGGACACATCCATGCTGTGGTGGGACAGAGTGCAGGTTACTCGTCAAAAACGCATTAGACGCACTGTGGTAAGTTGATCCCAGAACCCTGTATTAGTGTTCAAAGGCGGAAGAATCGAACGAGGGACACAGAAATATGCCCATATGAGCGCAAAATGTCCACTCGTAGTTACGCTTATGAAATATATATGAGCGTAAGTATTTTCTCATTTCTGAGCAACAATTGTATTCCGATAAAAGGTTATACACATGTATGCTCTCTTAATGAAATTGAGTGGGTTCTCCGAATAAAACTATGCCTTAAAAAAGTGTCGGTATATTAATACCGTTGTGCAAATACAATTTATTTAGTCAAATAAATTTTAAGCAAACATTTAGTTTGAGTTATATTTAAGAACTGTCCCGAACCTGCCCGCCTTTTCACTACTTGTCAGGTATATTTAAACGAACTTTTGTCGTCTTGAAAAGAAAGTGGTGGGTCAATAGCCTTGTGGCATTTAATCGGTGGTTTTATTACTAGTTCTGCATTATCTACTGTATTTTATTCATAGTATGTATCTCCTGTTTCACAGTGAGTTTCTCACACATTCCGTTATCACGTAGATTCAACAGGTCACATGCGAAAAACATACTTTTAAGAATGATTCAGAATCACCTCATACAAATACTGAGCACATCAGTTTATTTAGTCTTGGACTAGTAAGTAGAAACATGTAGAGTGCATATTACACTTCACATTTACTACTTATATTCATGCGACTGCCTTCTCTGCACTGGAATGTCTCCAAAAAGATTTTAGAGTTTCTGAGATGTCGGTTGACCCTGAAAACGAAAACAAATGATATTTTATACAATATCAATAATAATTACTTGCGTACCTAGAAGTATTCTTTGAGGCTATAATTGAATTAGACTGCCCATGCCAGCGTTAAAAAATTGTACGTAAACAAATGTCATGAAAAAGTACCTTATTTTCGAAGGGGTGTGAGGGTCGTGCAGAACGATGTCCCTCATCTCTGCCAGCTGATCGTTTTGGCAAAAGCTCTGTTGAACAAAACCGAAGTTTAGTTAAGTAAACCTGCGAACACTTTGTTTTTACAACCTACCCACTAGTCACAATTCACGAAGAAATATTGAGAGTCGCCCCCATTAGCGAGACAAGTGTTCTAACGTCCGAAGTTCATTACGCTAGCTGTAGTTGAAAAAGTAATAAGTTCGAAAACCTGAGGTTCTGGAACGCCAGCATCAAAAGATGTGACGGTGTTTGGTGACCGATACTTTCTGAGCGCCAGGCGTCAAGAGGTGCATAGTGATCACCAGCGTTCCCTCGAATTTGGACATTTTACGCTTAGATGACAAGGTTTTATATTGCATAAGAAAAACAGTTTTTTTTTTTTTTCGTAGACAAATGTCTGAAAGAAACGCGTGAATGGTAATGGGGCCAATGCATGAGACACTGGCTGTGTTGCTGAACTATGGGAAGTTTTCCGGATTGCGAAGATGTCCTATCTACAAAAATGTTTAAAAATTCATTTAAACGCACGTAAAAGAAATATAAATATTTTTGGAATATATCACATATTATACATGCGCTTGAATTATGTTGCCCTTCGATCCCTAGAGATATGTTTGTGTAAACATTTTAGCGCTTCGGCATCACTGGACCCTCGTTTCGGGGCAACACCACCTATTCTTTGTTTCTCCTTAAAGGCGCGATGCAATAATGTTTATACATTCAGTAAATATCCATTTAGATCATTGCTTGAGAATCACAACCTATGAAAATCGTCGTAGTTTCTTTCTCTGCGCAATGACTGCCGCAGAACATAAACTCAAGAAAAACAACCAGCGTTTAATTCTCAACTCTCAAACAAAACAAGTGGCCACGTGATCTAGAGCCGATTATAAGCCGCTAATTTGTATCATAGCCATAGGATAGGGTTGTCAGAGCACAGGGCAATCGCTGAGTTCGAGATATTGTTAGGGTTCGGCTATTCCCGTCATCGCAGCGCTTGGCCACGAGCCACTACCCGAATGCATGTGGATGCGTTGATTGTCACAACCTCTAACCTGCGCCGAGTGCTCACGCAATGCTTGTTTTCACTGTATGAGCCCAATTTAAATATCGCAATTGCGGGGACTGCAAAGCTTGATTATATATTCCTGGCGGTCGTGTTGTTGACAATGCCAACAAAATAATCCCCACAACATCGCCATCATAATTTGCGTCGGGAGGGCTGAAACTCCTGAAAGTAACCGTCCGCTTTTATCCTTTATATCGCGTGGCAACAAAGGAGCTTTTTGGTCGGTGTACTCTGTTCCCCGATATTGTTGTCGACGCCGCCATCTTGGTGCTTAGTACAGAGCAGACGCCACTGCCGATCGTCATGATGCAAACGTGCGGCCACCTCAGCATTAGATGCAGTGTTAGAAAGCTCATGTAATGTCGCTTTGCTCTGTCGCGAGCTCTTTAAACATTTGTGGAGGACGTAAAAGTGGTTCATGTGATTTTAGGTAAAGCTTCAGGTAACTGGCAGCCAATAATTTAAACTCCGATATGGGTAAATGCCGTTAATCTGAAGCGCGGCTTATTTAGTGGCCATAGGTTCCACTATACTGAATTCTATACTAAGAATATAACGCTGTCTAAGCTACTGGCGCGAGTGCGTGGCTTCATATATACCCCTTTCCACAAGGGCGCAGCCATCTTGAATGTCGTCAACCCTGCTATGCGGTAAAACATCGTTTTGATCTCTCCATGCCGCCGGAAGGTGATTACGAAAAATGCGCGATTCACACCTTCTTGTTTTGCCTTACCTATATTTTCTCGCACATTTAGGGTCGAAATGTTTTATTTTTGTTCGTCCCGCATACCAGATACGGAACTGACGTGACTGAGAGCGACAGGAGGCAGAAAAGGTATATTCATTTGCGCAGGAAAGAGTGCAAATGATCTGCGAAATGAAACCCCAGACTCGGGCTGGCATCATTGACAGCGTTTTACACTAAGCATTAAATCGAGTATAGTGCCAGCATGGTTGCCTAAATCCGAAAAATTACTACCGAATAATGTTGCACGGCCACTTTAAAGAAGCCATGAAATGATTGTTTTACTTCCGTTAAAGGCTTCTCAGAATCACTCCCAAAAGTCAATAACCGACTAAACTTGCCTTAAACATTGTTTCTAAGCAATGGCAGTCGGCAATTAAATTCGAGAAGCATGGGCACCATCTCCTCAACTCGGAGCCAGAACAAGCGACTACGTGGCCTGTTGCTTATCCTATGCCATCAACGTTAATCATAGCCACGCGTTTGGGTCGGCAACGAAGAAAACGAGTGCTGACCTCCAGGCATAGTTCGGCTACTCTCATAACCGCAGTGATTGGACACCAGCCACTATACTTTCTTTCGTCTTATGATGTACCGCAGGAAAGGCTACAAGCGCGAGCCCCTTGCTCTGAGGCAGATCTCGGCGGCACAAGCACTCGTGCATTAAGGGCAGCTGCCAATGTTATAATCTCGCGCTTCTAGCCTTCGTTGCGGTTTAACGTAAGACAACGTTACTAAAACACTCAGTTGGGAAACTCCCATAGAGACAGCTTTAAAAAAGTGGCCCCAACCTGTCTCCGAACACCGAGCTAATGACGAACACAACGCCACCATTTCTCCCGCAGCGGCCACTCGAGGAACTGCACGTGACTTCTATTTTGGCTCTAAGAACAGATATAGCGGTAGAGGTTACAGGGGTTGCAGGGGCGCCACCCCTGTCTCCCCAGCGGACGCGCCGCGTTGAACTGCCGAAGCTAAAACGCACCTAGGTCGGGACGCGCTACCTGAAAGGCCCGCTGAGGCATGGTTGGATAAAAATAATATTAATTGTTCTGCAAAACCTTGCGAACTAAAGATGATGAAAACATCACGCGCCCATCATTTGGTACTAAACTCCAATAAATTTCATACAAAAAGAGTCCTTTCCGTTTGTTTTTACGCAAAAACAGGCTTTCAAAAAGCTCAAGGTGACTACAGTACAGACAAACGATAAAGAGTGGCGCTGTTGTCGCATTTAGCTCGGTCTCGGTGGACACCAGCGGCCCAGGTTTCGACGGCGAGTTTCCCAACTGAGTGTTTTAGTAACGTTGACGTAAGGTGTAACGGAGTATACCCGTGCGTCTGCCGATGCATTGACTGTTACGAGCTGAAGTTGAGTGCTCTCGCAGTTCCCGTGTTCATTTCATGAGCCGCGCTCGATTGTCGTCAGGCGGTTAGTTTGGACCGCACAATCACGTCTTGAAGCTTTGCGAATGCAAGACTGCAAGAAATATACCCCTTTTATTCCCGCATTTTCTCTGCGACCAAGAAGCTTCTGAATGAGTGGTGGTCTATGGGAGTATACTTGGGCCAGACTAGGGCAAGTACGCCTCTGTAGAGTCATGAACATTCTAACCCGATATCGTTTCATGACCCCTTAAAAATGAAGCAGGCACTTTGCAAACAATTTGAGTTTAGATTATAGCTTTTTGTCCCGTGCATTTAGTTATCCCTCTGATATGGAGCAGTCTCGGGTTTACAACTATGCTCAAATTACACCAGCTGGCCTGCACCCTCACCAATGCTTCAGTCCGCATTTAGTTTGAAAAATACATGCCCCGATTGCCGCTGGTCATGCGGCGATCCTCTCTTGCCGCCTGTCATCTGTCCAAAGCGTCCTGACGTCATCGACGGCATCCCCGAGCCAGCATATAGTTGCGAGCATGGGAACCCCGCTGATGACGTCACTTTGGTTTGTCTTCCTTTCCGTTCTCGCGTTTTCCTACCCCCGGTGTGCCGCAACGGGCGGGGCTACGTCGAAATTTCACTTGGCTACTACGACGCTCCTACAAATCAAACCGAAAGAAAACTTCAGGTCCAAATTTTTAAGCTATCTACATTACAACTTTTACTATTTGTTTAAATTCAAGGACCTTTTTAGCTGCTGCAGTCGAATCAAAAAGACGCACAAACGAATACACACAGAAAGACAGACTATAAACCCAAAGTCACGGCGCACTCTATCCGCTCTAGTGGGTGAGACAGTGAATGACCACGATCAAAAAGACGACACATGACACGACGTTCTCTTTTCTGCTTTGCCTTATTGGCATCTTGGCTCACAAGGTCGGCTGCTCTCGAACCTAAGGTGAAATAAAGTATTCCCAACTCCAACGTAGTCGCAAGTTGGCAGAAGAGACGGGGATAGATTTTCCAGGATTTTCCGTACGCTCTCTCGCTGACGCTGTTCAGTGTGCTAAAATTAATTTATCCGCATTGTAGTCTAGTCAGAGTCTGGCAATGAACTGTTTTATTAGGTGCGGAGCATGAGCTTATATACTCAGCGCGCTAGTAGCTACAGCGCCGACTGCCGGGATTATGACTGGCCCATGACATCTTCCTCCTCTTCAGGTTGCTTGCGTTCCGAGGTTGGGTATCGCTGAGGTTTCCTCCGTAGTCGCGTACTTCTGCGCTCTGGGGTAGCCGATTGAACGTTGGTAGCTCCTGCGGTCGCATCTTCATCTGCCGGTGACGGTGCGTGTCCAACCTGGTCGTCCCCGGGAGGTGTCTGTTGACTCGAAGTACCGGCTGTTCCGCTCCCGTGGACCGACGGGGCATTTTCAACTGTAGTAGTAGTCGGCAGAAATCGCAAATCCTCCTGGTACGTCTTTTGCTCTGACCATCTTCAGTGGTGACAACGTAACACCTGGGTGCATCTGTTGTGGCTTCGATGACCGCGAGAGTCCAGGTTCTCTGCAAACTGTCATAAACGGTTACGGGGAAACCTGGTCGCAAATCAGGAAGTTGGCGCGCTGCTCGGTCGTATGAAGCCTTCTGCTTGTCTCGAATTTCCTTCAGACGACTTGTCACTACCTCTGTTGGTACGGTTTCGGGTTCCATATGACTTGTGGTAACGGGCAACAGTGTTCTTGTTTGGCGCCCCATTAACCGCTGTACCGGCGACTTAAGGTGGGCATCTCTAGGCGTGTTGCGCCATTCTAACAGTGCTAAACAGA